ATGTATTACAGTGAGACCAAAATAGTCTGCCGCCTTGTCGATGGTTGGGTGAATCGTTATAGGGGCTATCTACAGTTAGACCAAGTTATCACAGAATGATATCGTAAACTATTTCTTTGGGAAATTTCACAAAAAGTGAATTTAATGACAATTTGGTTCAATTACAATTTCAGGGTTCTTGATCGTTGGATACATTTTCTTAGCACGGTTGAGATATGTCTTTACAGCCATCAGGTTACTCTCTGTACCACCGGAAGTCAAGAACCCCACACATTCGTAATTTCCATTCAGCATACTAGCTGTCATGCTTACAATTTCAGTCTCCATCTTTCTAAAATGAAAAAGCATGCTCAAAGATCAAGAAGATTTCAATAGCATTTTGTAGAATCTGTAGAAAATTTTTCAATAAGAAATGAAGATGCATAAGAATTCAAATTACTGTGTGCGGGGGATGGGGGTGGGGTTAATTAGAGTCATAGGACCTCACAAACCTTACTACATATAAACAAAAGTGGGTGGGGTGGGTGTTAGCATAATAACTAGGCCTGAGAAACACATTAAACATACAACGCTGAGTTGATACCTTAAGCTGGGGAAGACCATGGGATTCAATGCATTTTCGTGAAGGAAGGCATGATGAAACTCTTTAACAATAGCGTCGTGTTCCACGGAGTATCCCAGCTTCTCTGTTGACAAAATAAAAATAAAATTTTCAATATAGCACTACATGTATATAATGCTTTATTTTTGATCATTTAAGTACCTTAAGACACAAAATTCCAACCTCATCTTTGAAAATAAATAAAAACTTATTACTATTGAAGCATTTATAATAACTTTCAAAGCTAAGAGCAACCACTTCGTCGACGAAACAGAGATGGTACACATGTTTAATAATACCAGAAGTTCTATTCTTTTTAATAAAGAGACAGACTACTAATTCTTCTTCAAATTTGATCAAGAACAGGAACTGAAAATTTAACGTACATGTATAATTTAAAAAACAAGTTGTTAGTACATCACAGAGCCATCACTAAGGGGTCTCTTTTAAATGAAGGAAAAGTGACAGAATCACAGGCGGACTAGCTGGTATAAAGAGGCATTCGTAAGAAAGATATTCTGAAGAAGACATTGTAAGCTAGATATTTCGTAAGCTAGGTAGCTCTGTAGAGGACTTTGTAAGCAAGAAATGTAAGCTAGGTAGCTCTGTAAAGGACAAAGTAAGCTAGATATTATGTAAGCTAGATATTCCGTAGAAGACCAGCTCTGTAAAGGACAATGTAAGCCAGATATATTGTATACTAGATAGCTCTGTAGAGGACATTGTAAGTTAAATATTTTGTACGCTAGATAGCTCTGTAGAGGACATTGTAAGGTAGATATTTTGTACGCTAGATAGCTCTGTAGAGGACATTGTAAGTTATTAGATAATTTGTACACTAGATAGCTCTGTAGAGGATTGTAAGTTAGATATTTTGTACGCTAGATGGCTCTGTAGAGGACATTGTAAGTTAGATATTTTGTACGCTAGATAGCTCTGTAGAGGACATTGTAAGTTAGATATTTTGTACGCTACATAGCTCTGTAGAAGACATTGTAGGTTAGATATTTTGTAAGCTAGATAGCTTTGTAGAGGACATTGTAAGTTAGATATTTGTAAGCTAGATAGCTCTGTAGAGGACATTGTAAGTTAGATATTTGTAAGCTAGATAGCTCTGTAGAGGACATTGTAAGTTAGATATTTGTAAGCTAGATAGCTCTCTAGAGGACTTTGTGAGGTAGACAGTTACGTAGAGGACTTTGCAAGATAGGTTAGCAATACATCTTGGCCCTATACATCGTCTCAAGCCACGGGTTTTGTGTCCATTCTGTTTGTGGAAAAAGATTGGACACAAAACCCCTTTCTTTGCGACAATGAGTTCTATAGGGATGCTATCTATGTAAGGGCGACGTTTCAAATCGGCCAAAGACAATGAAAGATTGCGAGGATTCGAGATTATCATCGTCCATATTATCAAAGCATTATCGCCGTTCGCGCATTCTCGCTCTCTAACTTTGGTCCCTATAGCATTATCGCTCTCTTTCCCCTAGGGCGATATAGAGCAAGTGGACCTCTTAGTAAACCACATACTAGTAACTTAAACCAGTATACAAGCAGCTAAAAATTTTATAGAGGCAGACCAGATTTGATGCTTTGTTTTTTATAGCATTGGTCATAGTCCTCCATAATTGATTTTGTTTATTTTAAAAAAGCACTTTTCGAGTACAGCTCTGCATATTTCACACTTTCCTCTGATTCAAAATCTTTTCAAAAGGTTAAGTTTTAATACGTATAGTAAAGACTTTTGATTAATAGCCTGGGAGCATGCTACAAGGACATTTACCTTGGAAGGTCTGGAAGGCCTCGGTCTGGATGTTGAAGTGATCATCCTCCTGTGTGTAAACGTAAGCAAAGATCTTCCCCTCCTCTGGGTCAGTTTCTCTTCCTTTCAGCTCTACCAGCTCCTTCCGAAGTTCGTCAGTAGGGACTCCTAGAAAATACCATGCAACATACTATCATTTGCAGAATAATTGGGTGTTTTGAGAAATACATGTATGCAATTTTTTTCTCTCTAAAATGATCGAAGCATAATTAAATGAACATATCAATATTTCACTCCTGAATATAGCTGAAGCTGTGGAATAAAGTATCAATATGATTTCGTTCGATTATGAATTCAATAAAATCCATACCGGTATGATTATTTCGATCAAGGGGGAGTCTAGATTTGGGAGATTCTCCAACCACATGGGTAGACTCAGGGATTTATATGCGGGGGGGGGGGGGGGGGATCCAGGCCCACTTGAAAAAAGATCCGTCTCCATTTTTTTTAAGCAGAAAAAAAAAATTAAAAAAAAAAAACAAGAATGTGTTTGTGAAACACTGATGCCCCCGTATGGCAGCTTATGGCGAAGGTTAAACTGAGTTTGTCAAATGCAATTCAAACTCCAGGTCAAAAGTTGGTACCCAAAGAAAGGTCTTGTCTCGAGGAATATACCTATGAAATACGAAAACCCTAAAACTAACCGTTGAAAAGTTATGGCGAAGGTTAATGTTTTTCAAAAGTAAGTAAAACATCAAGGTCAAGGTCAAATGCTGCCCAAGGGAAAGTCTTGTCACAAGTGATACACATGTACATGAAATATGAAAGCCCTAGAACCAAATGTTCAAATGTTACATGTATGGCCAAGGTTAAAGTTTTTTAAAAGTAGGTCAAACTCCAAGGTCAAGGTTAAATGGTCAAAGACGTTGGTATCCGAAGGAAGGTCTTGTCACAAGGTATGCACATGTGAAGTTTGAAAGCCCTCGCACCAACTATTCAAAAGTTATGACCAAGGTTAAAGTCTGATAAAATTTAGCTAAAGTGGGTCAAACTCCAAGGTCAAAAGGTCAAATTTGATGGTACCAAAAGAAAGGTCTTGTAACAAGGAATACACATGTAAAATATGAAAGCCATAGCTCCAACCAATCAAAAGTTATGGGCGAGGTTAATGTTTTTATGTGGACAAACAGACAGACAGACAGACGGACAGGGCAAAAACTATATGCCCCCGAATCTTCGTTGTGTTTGTGTGTGTTGGGGGGGGGGGGTCACTCATTACGCACAGACCACTTTCCTCCATATATATATATATATATATATATATATATATATATATATATATATATATATATATATATATATATATATATATATATATATATATATATATATATATATTGTACCAACTTTATGAGGGGTACAAGCTAATTTTTGGCCTAATTTACTATACAATTTCAATAACTCTGAAAATCAAAGGGGGTTCCAGACCAACCAACCTCCAACCCCGATGTGCTACTGATTTGGCTGACGAGACAAAGTTCGTTAATGTCATACTCAGAAACGAGAAAATCACACACGTGTATACAAGTGTAGTTGCATAAAAAACGGCAAGATTTGCATATTTGCAGAGAAACTAAACTAATTTAACTTTTAGCATGTCAAAATTTGACAAATATAGTCCACACTTCTTGTTTGTATCCTAACTTTGATAAACGAGATCCTCTTGACTACCAAATTTTATATAAAGTGCTTTGTATTCATTATCACACGGCGAATTTTGATATTTCTTAATGAACTGATCATCGGTTAATTACATTGCCACATGAATGGTTATCATTACATTGATAGTTATTATAGAAATATATGGTCGCTCACCTTTCTTAGGTATGAGAACTTTGGGAGCGGATCCCTCACTTTTCCTCAGAGTAGAATTTTGAACAAAGTCCTTGACCTGTTGTCGGAGAACGTATCGAAGAATTTCTTCCACCCCTGGCAGTTGCTTCAGCCCTATAACCAGAATTCTCATGAGTTCCTCCCATCCTCTGTTAATGTAAACAAACGTCAAAATCACAATAATAAAAGTGAAAAGAATATGTTCCAAGGTCCATACCAAGTCCAGCATGTTAACGAGTCAATAAAACGCCCGTCCTTTATCTGTTATAAGAAATTGTGCGTTAAACACCCGTAAAAGAGACTAATCAGCTGGAATGTTTACCTTTATCACAAGATAAAGAGTGAGATATATCTGATAGGAGAGAGAAAGAGAGAAAGAGAGAGAGAGAGAGACGTGAGGTGGATTTTAAATAAACGGATTGATTTCTTGACATTTGTTGTGTCGAAGATGGAACGTTTAGATATGGTGAAGTTATCTTAATTATATTTCTTAACGTGCTATCTAACGAATTATAGAAACCCCCCAACATTATAAATAAAAAATCCCTTTTCAAAATTTATAAATGATTTAGATCTACATACTGCAAATAGATAAAAAAAAACCCCTCATACTAATAAACACACAATTTTTTTTCATTATCTTCAACGGAAGAGGACTCCCCCCTCCCCCCCCCCCCCCTCTCTCTCTGTTTGACATATTTTTGATCGGGATCGGCTTACTCCGAGAAAGTCAAGGTTGTAGACTACAGTAGAGCACAGGACCTGTTGTAAACAATTCCTTCTTGATTTGATATCTAAAAGGTATTTGTATAAAACAATGGTTATTTCTCATCAATATTTTTATATATCATAATTGGTGTTTATGTAACACAGAAGAAGATGCCAAGTGTCTGAGTTAATTTATTAGCCAATCGAATTGCGCGATTGTCACACACCTTTAAATCTACTGAAAATAGCCACAAACTCAGTAACTTATTCTTAGACAGGACGGTTATAAAGGACCTGTGGTATAGTACGGGTTAGTATTGGAAAAAGGTATTTTTATTATGTGCATATGATTTTATGTGAAGTGTAAAGTTCATTTTAGGAAAATTCAGATGGAAATGGGCTGACCACGAGAATTTAACAAATGGGGAATGTCGTAAATAAAATTCCAAACCGTTGTGGTAATACTAAATGTGATGTAAAGGACCAGTATAATACAACTAATTGGCAGTTTGGTCTACAGTATATTAAAGAAAGTACCTGATCAGATTTATATATAAATATAATGATTATATCCAAACAGCACTCAAATTTAAGCTGTCTAATGAATAAAATTAATGTGTAACAGGAAGAGAGAAATTGAAAGTTGACTTAACAAGGATGTGTTCCCAGGCCCTCTGAACTCATAGACAGGGGCTCTACCAATAGACCCCCTGAACTCATAGGAGCTCTAACAGCTGAGCTGTATGACAAGAGGCAAATAAACCTGCCTCACTGCTTCATCATACATGTCAACTTATGAAAATCTCCATGGGAGATTTTGCGCAAAAACAACAATTTTCAAAGCTTTAAATTTGCAACATTTTTTCATGAAATGTAAATATTTATTCCATTTTTTTTAGAATTTAAAATATCTATTTCACTTCAATATTTAAGTGTGTTTTATTCCATATCTGTACTTATCTATACTTATAAATTAATAAATTTTGCAAATAAACTCCGTAATGGGTTCACCAGAGTTCTACCTTACTCCTCTAAGAATACACTAGATACAAGATGATGTCCGTAAACTATATTTAGATTTCACTCGCATAGAAAGTATCATACATTAAATTAAAAGTCTATACTTTCATTTCCATAAACAGCCATGAAGTAGTAAAAACATGAGTACGGCGGCAGTTCCGGTTGGCGGGTCTAAGTTACTGGCAATTTTTAATGAAACTGACAACAAGCAATTGTTTATTTATTTCATAAAACATCATCCCTGAATTATTCAATCAAAACTTGATTTGAATGATATAAAAGAAATAAGTTTTGATAACCGATTAAAAAGGGAAATGTGCAAATTATTTTCATCATTCACCGATCTTAATATTGACGGAAGCTTCTAGAACATCATATAGCATCAAACCCAATGTTAAAAAGAAAATCAAGGTGATTATAGCTGCATTAACATAAAAAAAAGCTTTGAAATAATGGTAAATCGTAGATAACACTATAAGTTGTGAATATATCTATGTAATTCCAATCTTAATTTTATTTATTGATTCCCTATGTTTTGATTGGATGAGAACAAATTCAAGAAAAAGTTTACACATCGATAAATCTCTCATCCATTACTACTTTCTTGTCCTAGCTTTTAATGTAAAAAAAATGAAACAAATCATTACTTACAAACCAGAGAGCTACGGATCCAAGCATTGTGAAAACCTTTGATTTATGGCGACGCTTTTTTGTCGCCTGAAGGAATTTTGCAGCGGCCTATGCCCCAAAAGGGGTAGCAGGTATGATTTTGCCATGTTATTCTTATTTGTGAAGAAATGTTTTGTTCATTTCACTACAAAAAATTTTTTATAACCAATTCAACATATCGTGATACATATCGTATCGTGGCTCAAATATTGTGATACGTATCAATATAGAAAAAGCTGTATCGCCACAGCCCTATCTGTGAGGTGTTCAGTTGTAAAACCTGGAGAAAAAGGAGGGAAGAGTGTAACAGGGTTCAACAACTTAATTTCATGCTGCTGGATAAAATTTTCAGTCTGCCTGGTTTTGTTAGCACACCTGAGCTGAAAGCTCAAGTGAGCTTTTCTGATAACCCGTTGTCCGTCATCCGTCTGTCTGTAAACTTTTCACATTTTCAACCTCTTCTCAAGAACCACAGGGCCAATTTTAACCAAACTTGGTACAAAGTATCCTTAGGCGAAGGGGAGTATAAATTGTCCCCTTACAAGGGGAGATAATCAAGAAAAGACAAAAATAGGTGGGGTCATTAAAAAATCTTCTTCTCAAGAACCACTGGGCCAAAAAAGCTGAAACTTATGTGGAAGCATTCTGAGATAGTGTAGATTCTAAATTCTTAAAATCATGACCCCCGGGGGTAGGCCGAGGCTACAATAGGGAATCCAAGTTTTACATTGAAATATATAGGAAAAATCTTTAAAAATCTTCTTCTCAAGAACCACTGGACCAGAAAAGCTGAAACTTATGTGGAAGTATCCTGGGTTAGTGTAGATTCTAAATTTCTCAAATCATGATCCCCGGGGGTAGTGCAAGGCCACAATAGGGAATCCAAGTTTTACATTGAAATATATAGGAAAAAATCTTTAAAAATCTTCCTCTCAAGAACCACTGGGCCAGAAAAGCTAAAACTTATGTGGAAGCATCCTGAGGTAGTGTAGATTGTAAATTGTTTAAATTAGGACCCCAGGGGGGTAGGGCAAGGCCACAATAGGGAATCCAAGTTTTACATTGAAATATATAGGAAAAATCTTTAAAAATCTTCTTCTCAAGAAGCACTGAACCAGAAAAGCTGAAACTTACGTGGAAGCATCCTCAGGTAGTGTAGATTGTAAATTGTTCAAATTATGACCCCAGGGGGTAGGGCGGGGCCACAATAGGGCATACAAGTTTTACATTGAAATATGTAAGAAAAATCTTTAAAAATCTTCTTCTCAAGAACAACTGGGCCAGAAAAACTGAGACTTATGTGGAAGCATCCTCAAGTAGTGTAGATTCTAAATTGTTCAAATTAGGACCCCCAGGGGTAGGGCGGAGCCACAATAGGGAATCCAAGTTTTACATTGAAATATATTGGAAAAATCTTTAAAAATCTTCTTCTCAAGAACAACTGGGCCAGAAAAGCTGAAACTTATGTGGAAGCATCCTCAAGTAGTGTAGATTCTAAATTGTTCAAATCAGGACCCCAGGGGGTAGGGCAAGGCCACAATAGGGAATCCAAGTTTTACATTGAAATATATAGGAAAAATCTTTAAAAATCTTCTTCTCAAGAAGCACTGAACCAGAAAAGCTGAAACTTATGTGGAAGTATCCTGGGTTAGTGTAGATTGTAAATTGTTCAAATCAGGACCCCAGGGGGTAGGGCGGGGCCACAATAGGTAATACAAGGGTAGGGGGGGATCTGGTAAAGAACAGCAATGGCCAAAGTTACTCAGGTGAGCGATGTGGCCCATGGGCCTCTTGTTTAGTTGGTCATGTTTGTAGTGTACCTTTGAAAATCTTGTTTTATATTAAATTTCCTGGAGATTTAGAACCCAAAATTTAAGCATAGGTACCATTAGCTATTTGCCCTTTACAAAATTTATAATTATGAAAATATGTGGCCCCCAGACCTCAGGCCAAAGGGTGGGGCTAGGTTGATCATATATTTAAAATGCCCTTTATCTTCATTTTCCTTATCATCTTAGAACAAGCCTCTCTAATATGATAGTAGACATACACTCCTCATCAAATTTAAAATTCATGTCGCATAAGTCAAGAGTTCCAGGTAAGGCTGAGTTGGTCATAGTGAGAGAAAAGTGTCACTCAGGTGACTGTCAAGGCCCAGGGGCCTCTGGTTTTAATTTTGTACATGCTCATGCATCTACAAGGGACCTATAAGTCCAGAGATTTTTGAAGGCTATTTAGGGACACTGTCTTATCAGTATTGTGAACTTTAATTGGTCATTGCAGTGATAGCTGTGATATAGGACTGATCTGAACTTGTGCTCTAAACATTGTTGTATGTATATTGTCAAATGGATGTTTTCTAAAGTTTATGTAAATGTTTATAATTATACATTTTGGTTAAGGAAGATAAATAGGTAATTTGCTAGCAGTGGTTTATCCTAGATTAATAGCTTGAAAGCATACAAGGCAAGGACAAATGCCCCCTGCTCTGAGATGAGATATTTCTCAATTCTAAAAGTTCATAGAAAATTTTTATTTTTTTCAAAAATTTGGTAGACAGTATCATTTTGAATACATTTGATTTCCTTATTTCATTGAATTATTGAAAAAATAATTTATTTTTTCAGTTATATTTTTAAGGAATGTGGAAAGAAAAAGAAAGAGCCCCTCATGCATGATTCAAACTCAGTCCAAAGCTAGCAGTGGGATGTAATGTTAAACCTTAACCATTAGTATCTTGTATCATGGGCTTTGTGATTCAATTAAATGAGTTTTTTGAAGCGTATAATTTCAGAAATTTTCAGTTTACATATAGAATGACTATTTTTTTAAATATAAAATATATTTTACATTCATTTTTCTGTTATTTAAACATATACCATATGTAGAATGGAGACTTGACCTAATTATATTAAAAAATTATTTTAAATGGCTGTGATAGACCCATTTTCCACTAAATATGCTTTGACAGTCAGCTTAAAAAAGAAATTATCAATAACTGATTCAATAAAATATAAATTTATCATTGATGTATTTACCATACTGGCATACCATAGCTGCAAAAGTTAATGTAACCCTATTAAAATAAAATAAAACATGGGTAATCGAAGATTACGAAGCTCACCTCAACGAATGTTATCCATAAATAAGGCAATCTCACACCAATTTTTTCTAGTTTGTGTGAGTCCTGAGATCAATATCCATGCAAGTTTGATTTAAGTAGGACTTATAGTTACTTGGGAATGACCTGCTCCAAAACCGTTTACTTGTTCATTAATTAGGGATGTCAACGAATATTCGAATATTCATTCGATAAGTTGATATTCGAATATGAATTTAAGATTCGAATATTCGGTGTTTTTCAGGTTTCATAAAAAAAAGCACTGTGATTAATAAATTTTGATTGGAACAGTGCTGAAATTATCCCTGTTTAATCTACTAGCGAACAATTTCGATCACCCGATTTCTTTCGCTATTTTCTTATCTTATATAGATCTACTATATTATTTTGTTTTGAGTAAGGTGTTTAAGATTTATACAATAATGCTTTATGTATAATACAAAACGTACTTTCATAGTTTTTATTAGTTAAATATGATCGAATCGAGGACAACGAAATGAAACCTTCTTAGAATGTCTACAAGACGTGAAAAGTATACTTATCAAAACAAATTTAATTGATCATTCAAATAAATATCAGATAGAATTAGTCTGTAATTAATACTGTAAAGGGCTCAATTTTAGAATAATTGAGTAAATTACTTGATTATCTCAGGTTGTACATAATCCTGAATTTTATATTCATTATCGGGAAATTAGTCAATTACCTAGGAAAATTGTCTATGGAATTGTTTGTTTATATTTTAAAAACATTGTATCGAAGATTATAATCATATCTCTTATTAGGCTGATAAGTGTAATTAATTACACGTATTGAAATCTGAACAGTATAGGACTATCTTGCCTTAGGTAAGACAACTGGTTCCTCATTTGGAGCTACTATAAATGCACATGTATCATTTGTTAAAATTATACTTTTCTACATTTAAATCACTTATTTATTTCAAACTTTGACAAGTACCAAATGGAATCCCTTATTGTACACCTACAAAAGTTTTCATACAATTTTATTTTAAAATATAAGAATACCTACACTAAACCTTTCATGAGAGTAGGATGATGCATTCAAAATATACCAGATTTTATTTATTTTATCGAATATTCTAATATATTCGAATACTTTCATTGAATATTCGAATATGAATTATTCACAAAATTGACATCCCTATCATTAATCCATAAAATGTAGGTTAGTTCCAACATCTGAACCAAGTCTGGTAATGTCCATCCCTTGTTGCATCATCCATGCAAGATTCATCATAACAAGTCATATAGTTATAGAGCTACACCAAAAACAATACCCTGGTCATTTATTTGGAAAATATAGGTCAGATCCAGCATCCAAAGTAAGTTTGTTAGTATCCGTCCTTAAAAGCATCATCCATGCTAGTTTGGATCAGGTTGGGCAAATATTCACTCATCTGAAAAATGAATGATGAAAAATTAAATGATTGGTAAGACCCAGCATCTGAAGCAGATTAGGTAGCGTGCTTCATCCATGCAAGTTTGGTTCAGGTAGGTCTTAAAGTTACTTTGGAATGGACCTGCTCTTAAAATTTAATTCTGTCATTCATCAGGAAAATGTAGGTCAGATCCAGCATCTGAAGCAAATCTGATAGTGTTTATCCCTAGATGCAACATCCATGCAAGTTTGATCCAGGTAGGTATTAAAATTCATTGGGAATGGACCTGCTCCAAAAATTTAACGTGGTCACTCTTCTGGAAAATGTAGGTCAGATCCAGCATCGGAAGCAAATCTGGTATTATCTTTCCTTAAATGCATTTTCCTTGCAAGTTTTGTTCAGGTAGGTCTTACAGTTCTTTGGGAATGAACCAGCTCTGGAAATGGAATCTCATCTGGAAATGTAGGTCAGATTTGGCATCTGAAGCAAGTCTGGTAGTGTCCATCCCTAGATGCATCGATCATGCAAGTTTGGTCCAGGTAGGTTTTATAGTTCCTTGGGAATGAACTTAAACATAGTCACTCATCTGGAAAGTGTAGGTCAGACACAGCATCTGAAGTAAGTCTGGTAGTGTCCTACTCCTACAAGTAAGAGCCTTGGTTAACGTCCCTGCGCTCCTTATATTATGCGGCACCAAGTCAAAAGTATCCCGCTGTGAACCTCTAGCATGCTGGAGTAGTGTCCATCCCTTGATGCATCATCCATGCAAGTTTTTATCTAGATAGGTCTTATAGGTCCTTGGGAATGGACCTCCTCAAAAAACTTCAACTTGGTTACTTATTTGGAAAATTTATGTCAGATCCAGCATCCAAAGCAAGTGTGTTAGTGTCCATCCCTAGATGCATCATCCATGCAAGTTTGGTCCAGGTAGGGCTATTTTTAGGAACAAGTCCATTCCCAAGTAATTATAAGTTACTTGGGAATGGATTTGTTCCTAAAAATTTTACAGACTTCATCAAGATGAGCTTAAAATTAAAAATGTATGTGTCATTCTGCAGGAAGGGTAGATGCAATGAAAATTTTTCAAAAAGAAAGAAATTGTGTACTATCCCTTTTATGTTTTAATTTTGGATTACATTAAGTGTAAACTGACATTCCAGTAAGTGCTTATGCTCCTGTAAGCATCCCACTTTGTTACTGGCTTATTTCTAATACTAAGTGTGCAATTCTGTGACTTCAGAAAACTGGAATACATGTATTATTTTTCATACTATATAAGTAAATTTTTTAGCAAGACTAACAAAACTTTTTACACTATGTATTTTATAACAATTGAAGTAAATAGAAGAACTAAAATACTGTATAAGTGTGTAAAACATGCAATTTTCTCCAAATGCCTGGATACCTATAATTTTGAATCCAAAAATATATTTGTTGATCAGTTTTCAAGTAGAAAATCCATAGCTGGTGCTTTTATTCGCATTTACTGAAAATATATTTGAGATCTGATAATTTTCCCTACATAATATGATTAACTTTAGTGATGAACTTTGAAGAAATACCATGGGTAAATACACATTATTCTGTGACATCCAAGACATTTTTGTGAGAATTTTCAACTACTGAAAAGCTGATTTTCGGAACCTGAGGATCGGATTACCTTAAAATAGGCATTTATTTTTAGTGAGAATTAATTATAGCGATTTTATATTGCCAGGAAAGATAACTATTACCTCCGATGCAGAATGATCTCAATATTAGGGATCTTTACACTCTTAGTAATAATACTAGTATTTTTTACTTGTTAGATGAGCATGGCCCAAATTCTTCATAAAAGACCAGGAAATTTAATGAACAGCACAGAAGTTCCATGTTCCAAAAAGAAGATGAATGGAATTAAGAAACCCCACCCTAGGGACAGTTTGGAGAAAATTGCCTCGGACCAGGGACTTGACTTAACTGACCGGAAGTTTGCAGAGTACATGGACAGTGTTGACCCACTGAGGCACCTTAGGGATGACTTTTGTTATCCAAAGATGAAGGACTTACAAAAGAGTATATATTTTCTTGACTTTAGATCTATATTTGTAATTCTGATATTTATATTTCAAAATTTTCTGATACTTGTAATTTGATAAATAAACCAGGAACACTATCATTTTTCATATCATAGTTTATGAGAATATATCAGGGGTAGACAGTAGACACTAATTGTTAAAGCAAAATACATGTAGGCTGCAGGACTAGTGTCTTTGAATTCCTACTAGTTGATGAATTAGTTGTCTAGCAGACTTTGGCTACCAGTTGAATTGCTACTCAGTGAGGGGAGCGGATTCCTTAGTAGGCTCCCCTCACTCTTGAATTGCATTTAAATCTTAGTTTCAAACAACTGATGAAGAAACACATTAATAGGTTGGCCTAAACAAAGGTTTGGCCAAATCAGATTTTAAAAGTTGGTCAATCTGACTTATATGACCGTAAGGAATATTAAAACAGCTTTAAAACCTCACTGACAAATTTGGAATACTTATTTTTTAAGTATATTACCCCTAATATCTCCTTTCCTCAGATATCTCTAAGTTTTGTCTCAGTCCGACTTCCATCAAGTTTGAGATGACAAGGTTACACTGTATTTCCTCTATTAATCTTGAAGTTCATAATTGTTTTAAGTATGTGTGTGTTGGTTATAGGATTTCATTAGCCCCACAGGGCAGGCTTGATGACTTGTTTAGTAGCCCGCCCTCAATTTCTAGTTGTCTTTGGCCATCAGACTACCATTTATATTGAACCCTTATTTAATAGAGCCGGTGATACTATAATTAAAATATATTAGGTACTTTCATAAAAATCATAATTTCTGTAAACCAACTTTTCTATGTGTCTGACAAACTGAAATTTTTTACATACTGTAATAAACAGAAAAATGAAGAAATGCTTAAGATGATCATTTTAGACCCTTTTCTATTTCTCTAGCTGATTTAAGTCTTGTGGACCCAGAGGAAGATTGTGTATATTTCTGTGGAAATTCCCTTGGACTCTGTCCAAAAAAGTTCAGAGAATACACGCTTGTCGAGGTTAACAAATGGGAAAAAACGTGAGTATTTTACCAGTGATTGTAAAAAGGAATACTTGCTTTGCATATTTAAGTTTGATCTTAATTTTGATGAATATGTGATAATTAAATAAATCATTACTTGTACTATGCTGATCTTATTTATCTACTTTTTTTATATAAAGAGGAATCTGCAAAAGGCAGTATGGATGGATTGCAATTATGATTTTTATGAGTGTATTAAATTAGCTGCTTATTAAGCAAAAATGTAGACAGATATAACAAGAGGCCCATGGGCCACAATGCTCAACTGAGACACATTAGCTCTGCTGTTCTTAATCAAAAGGGTTTTTTTTTGTTGTTTCTGTTTAAAAAAATGTTTGGCCATTTTATACACATGTTCTGCAGAAAAGTAAACATGCACAGGGTAAAAATGACCCCTTGTAGACTTGAGTCCTTCTCTAACTCCAGATACATGTAGCATCCATAATTTTAAAGCTATATATGGCATATCTGAGGTTAAAAAATAAAAATACGAGATTGAGTGTAAATGAACATGATATTTGTTATGTACGTTCAACTTAAAATTTTCACCGATTTTGAACTTAAATAACCCAATGTTTCTATAGTTAAATTGACTTTAAACTGTGTCTGATATTTAAATGCGAAGTCGGTAAATAAATTGGTTATTGTTTTAAATTTCTAATATCCATGAAACGCAATTGATTTTAATTGTGTAATTTACAGGAAAGTCCTATCTTTATATAAAGTAATAAAACAAATAGAAAGATCTTTATAATTTTAGTTAGTCCGAACTTATCAAAAATACGCCATATATGACTTTAAAAAAAACAAATCACAACGCTGGAATTTTTCCATATACTATTTATATTTTTTGGAATTTCATATACATGTACTAAAAACCTTATATATCAAATTTCCTTAAAAATTTTGACCTATATTGTGGCCTCAACTTACCCCCCATGGATCATGATTTCAGGAAACTTGAATTTGCATTACTTGAGGATGCTTGCATGTATATTAATAAAATTGATCGTGGTTGTGCCGTTCTTGAAAAACAATTTCAAATTTCCTTTTTATTGGGATGTAAAATCTTGATCCCCAAATTGGGGCCCCACCCTACCCCCAGGGACAATAATTTGATCAAAACTCAATCTGCACAACCTTAGGTGCTTGCATATTACCGTGGAATCATTATTGTTTGTGGGGGATCAGTGTTCTTGGATTTGGTGGGCAACCCTTACCCACAAATTACATCCCCACAAACATTGATAGATACATACGTTGAACACAGTATAGTCATCTATCTTAATAGAGCATATAAGTTAACCACAAAATTATGTCCCCAGGAACTAGAAAAATTTTGGTTACACACGAACATTAACCCTCTCAAATGATGATGATGATTTCACAGTAAAGCACTAGTCATGGTCCTTTAATCTTGAGAAGAAGATTTTTAAAGATTTTTTCCCATTTATTTGAAAATCTTTGATCCCCTCTTTGAGCAACACCTAACCCTCAAAGGCCATGATTTGAACAAACTTGATTTTGCACTACATAAGGGATGCTTGCATTTTAATATCACTTTAATAGCATGGTACATACATGTATATAAGGAAAGTAGAAATCTATGATATTTTCACATAAAACAAAAGAAGTTTTTGGTCAAACTAAAAGGTGTTTTGAGAAAGGCTTATGAGAAGTGGTGACTACCATGCATGTGCAGCAACAGCTTGTGCAATTTTTAGCTCACCTGAGCTGAAAGCTCAAGTGAGCTTTGCTGATCACCTGTTGTCCGTCTGTCTGTCCGTCCGTCCGTCCATCCATCTGTAAACTTTTCACATTTTCAACTTCTTCTCCGGAACCACTGGGCCAATTTTAACCAAACTTGGTACAAAGTATTCTTGTGTGAAGGGGAGTTTAAATTGTTAAAATAAAGGGCCAAGTCCCCTTACAAGGGAAGATAATCAAGAAAAGACAAAAATAGGGTGGGGTCATTAAAAAATCTTCTTCTCAAGAACCAATGAGCCAAAATAGCTGAAACTTACGTGGAAGCATCCTGGGATAGTGTAGATTCTAAATTGTTCAAATCATGACCCCTGGGGGTAGGGCGGGACCATAATAGGGAATCCAAGTTTTACATTGAAATATATAGGAAAAATCTTTAAAAATCTTCTCAAGAACCACTTGGCCAGAAAAGCTGAAACTTTATGTGGAAGCATCCTCAAGTAGTGTAGATTTTAAATTTTTCAAATCATGACCCCCGGGGTAGGGCGGGGCCACAGTAGGTATTACAAGGGGGCAATCTGGTAAAGAACAGCTGGGCCAAATTTACTCAGGTGAGCGATGTGGCCCATGGACCTCTTGTTTTTGATCTGTACCCCATTTCATTTGAGTTGCAGCTTACAACCAGGTCATTAAGACTTTAAATTGACAAAGAATTTTTTTTAAAAAGTTTTAAGGGAGATATTCTCTACAAATGTAAAAGTAATGCAGTAACCTTATAAAAAAACATAGGTAATCAGAGATTACAGTTAGAGCTCACCTCAATGACTGTTGTTTTTAAGTAAGGCAAAGTCTAAAATTAAACTAAAAATCTAGTAGTGTACATCCCAAGATGCAGCATTTATGTGATTTTGATCTGATAGGGCTTGCAATTACTTGGGAATGAACTTATCCGAAAACTTCAAACTAGTCACTCATCCAGAAAATGTAATTCAAATCCAGCATCTGTAGCAAGTTTAAGAGTGTTCATCTCTTGATGCATCATCCATGCAAGTTTGGTTCAGAAAAGCCTTATAGTTTCTTGGTAATGGACCTGTACTAAATACTTTAACTTGGCACTCATTTGGAAAATGTCGGTCAAATCCAGCATCCGAAGCAAGTCAAGTAGTATCCATCCTAAGATGTATCATGCACACAAGTTTGGTCAAGGTGCAGCAAATAGTTGTTTTAGAATGAACCGACTCCAAAAACTTTAACCTGGTCACTCATCCAGAAAATGTAGGTCAAATCCAGCATCTGAAGCAAGCCTTGTAATGTGCATCTTTGGATGTATCAGCCATGCAAGTTTGGTCATCATAAGGCTCATAGTTACTTTAGAATGAAGCTACTTCAAAAACTTAAACCTGTTCACTCATCTGGAAAATGTAGGTCAGATCCAGCATCCCAAGAAAACTTGGTAGTGTGCTTCCTTAGATGTATCATCCATGCAAGTTTGGTCAACATAGGGCTTATAGTTACTTTTAAATAGAAATGAACCTGCTCCAAAAACTAACCTGGTCACTCATCCGGAATGTGTATCCTTAGATGTATCATCCATGCCAGTTTGGTCAACATAGGGTTTATAGTTAATTGGAAATGAGACCTTCACTGAAAACTTTAACCTGCTCCTAAAACATTAACCTGCTCTAAAAACATTAACCTTGGCATTTCTTAGCTGAAATTGCAGCATCTGAAAACTTGACTTGAAGTGACTTGTACAATGAAACACACTAGAAGCATCTTCCATGCATATCTGATTAATGTAGGGCATACAAGTACTTAAAAAGAAAACTGCACCAAAAACTTTAACCTGGGACACAGATGCTGATGCCCACACCGAGGGTATCACATAAGCTCACACAACTTTGTTGAGGTGAGCTAATGATGCATTACAATGGGATTGCACATTTTTTCATGATATACGCTTTATAACAATTTAAAAAATCCTTGTGATATAAATATGCAATTATATTATGGAACAAAATTCCAGACTTATTCGAGCATGACACAGAAGATGGTGTAAATCCATTCATCCCATGGGAGTAATGAATTGGAAATTAAAGGAGCTTTTTTTATAAGAGTCATATTGCATCTGTCCAGTTAAAGATAATTAATGAGTTCAGTATAAGAAGGCTGTCTTAATCAATTCTCTTAGAACATCTCTTATTAAGCAGGTGTGATTCATATTTCTTGGGAATTGCATGAGCAGAAGAATCAAAGATCTGGTCTCTTATTCTTTTTATTGCAATTGATAGTATCTGTCAAGTTAAAATACATAATTCTCGATGACCAACCTTTTATTTTCAAAATTAATTTTAGTATAAATTTATAAAAGATAATTTGATATATTGTATATAAATATACATGTATTTTCATTTGCTGAGTGTGATGGGGAATGAAAGAAGAATGGAAGATGGACTTGACAAACACTGTATGCCTCTGCCATATTCATGGCGGGGCATAAAAAAATTATATCTCAGCATAACCATGTCTCTTAAATAAGTATACATACTTCAAAATGGGCATGTCATTATGGCAATGTTTACTTCTTATTATAACCAAATTCCCTTGGTGAACTCAAATGAAATTCATCTAGTTTTATTTATCCAAGCCCATAACATTGATCATATTTGCGTGAATGTTATTCCAAGACATGCATTTTAGGTGAGTACTACTGAAAGATGCTCTATAAAGTAATTTATGAATGAATTAAAGGATAAAAATTTGGAGGTGGACCATTTGCTAGCAATAACAATGTATAGGCCATACTGTAATACAAATAAAAACCACATGGATAAGTTGTTTACTTCATGTAGCATATATCACTTGACAAACTTGGAATGTTTTAGGCATCATACTTTTTAAAAAAAAGTTGATAGGTTGCTTGAGTGTTACCTATGAAGGTCCTGTTTTTGGTCCTACATTTAACACATATTATTCAGATGACTTCCCACTTGAACATTAAATTAGAGTAATTTTACATCTGAAAATTATTTACCCTACTTGGATCAAATCTGTATGAATGGTGCATGTCCTACATTTTGCTGCAAAATTACAACTGCCTGCAGCTGTGAAGAGTTATTTTTAAATGCTAATTAGATGCAAATTAAAACAGTTTGGTATGCTGTAGTGTTTCCATATAATATCTGACAAAAGTAAATTTTTGCTTTCACTTGAAATAGAATATAATTTCGATAAAACATGGTAGTTTTATGGTGAAGGTTAAAGTTTTTCATTCTGTGTCATATTGGACTTGT